GGATCATACCATACCAGAAAATAGAAGACGGCGTAAAAGGCCTCAGAACAAGGCAGCCACAAGTGGTTCGCCACAATCCGTAGCACCTTCTTCATGGAAAGAAGGATGCATTACGATACCCGATGGCTGCAGTGTTTGCACTAAAGTTGTTTCGGTAGTCAATGCGGCATTTGCATGCAACCTGTGTCGCCGATGGGCGCGCCGCCACTGCGACAGCAAAGTCCCCCGACAACACTATAAGCTGATGAAGAGACAGACATGCAAGTGGTTCTGGCACATCTGTCCGGAGTGCAGGAAGATGCTCTCACTTCACACAGAGGGCCTGAAAGGGATGCTCTCCGCCACGCGAAAGCCAGTGGTGTCCTCGAATAAAGTAGGGCTAACACTAAAGGATAACACAGAAGGACCTGGAAACGGACCCAGAGCTCCAGCTGCGGGCAGGCCATATTAGATCAGGCCTCCGTGCCTCCTACCCGGCCTCAGAGAACTTCAAGCGCATGGCCAAAGACATCGACCGCTAGACCCTTTACGACACCCACTCCAAGCATCCCACACGCTGCGACTAGGAAACAACCAGTGGAAATACCCAAACCCACTGAGAAGTCGGGCGTGCCACCCACAAGGAACTCAGGTCATAGGAGGACCAACTAGATCATTTTGTTCGGCGTTGATGTATCGACAGACTCATTGTTGGTCGAGAGGGAACGGTTTGACAGCCGAATGTGTACCGACCACTGTCAGATACTGGGACTCCCTTCCCCCCTGCAACTTTGTGTCACCTTTCTCGAGGAAGCCGTGCACCCGAAGATAAGCCACCCTCTTTTCGTTTGTCTCTAGATACTGCCAAAGGGGCTGAAGATAAACTCCTTCTTTCGCGACAACTGGACTTTGCCAATGCCTGCAAAATTCGGGCCAAGCCAAACAACCATGGTCAATAAGAGAAGAGGAGAGAAAGTCAGCGGTTGGAAATCCCAACAGAAATAACACTGTAGTTTTGCATGGGATTCCAGAATTGCCAAGTGACCGCTCGGTTAGAGGTCGGTACTTTCATGACGTCCAACAATGGCAATGGCTCTCAACCAAAGTTGGTCTCGACAGTGTACCGGCCGACAGCGTCAGTAGACTGCCAAGGCCAGCGCATCTGAAGTCCATACCCACTCCCAGGTTGCTCGCCGTCCAGTCCGACACATGTGCCCCCTCACAGACGTTCCGTACGCATGGCATAATGCGAGAGATCGCATGGGTGGCTCAATACGTATGTGTGAAAGTAGGCCTAAACCCACGAGGCAAGAGGAGAGACGGCAACCACAAAGACCTCTGGAGTCAGCGGTCGTTACACGGGCGATGACCAGTGAGTTAGGTACGTCGAGTAGAGGAGCCACGACTCCGCAGCCCCCACCCAAGTTAAGAACAAAACACAAAAAACGGAACGATGCCAGTCTTATGGGGACTGGCGACGCTAGACCCAACCACGTAAGCACCCTTCCTGAGAAAATAAACAACCAGCCCTCCCTTCTCACCAGGCACACTCTAACATGTATGTGCAGCAACGTTAGAAGGCTAAGGGGGACAGTGGCAGAAATGAGGACGCTTCGTGAACATCAGCACTCTGACATCATATTCATCAACGAATCCTGGCTCTCGCCGGACATCTTCGACGAAGAGATGCATGTCACTGGCACGGAACTCTTCCGCAGGGACAGAGAGCACAGAGCAGGAGGGAGAGTGGCTCTCTACGTAAGCTCCCGCTAAAACGCGAGGGTGGTTAGCGATACGGCCTTAACCCGGCTCCCAGAATCTCTATGGTGCTACTTTACTCTCCACTGTACGAACACCCGCTTGGAGTCATATATCGGTCCCCACCAAGTCCCCTACACATGAGGAAGTGGTCATCAAGGCAATCTTAACGACGTCCTCCGCAAATTACGATACCGTAGTCATTACCGGCGGCTTCAACACCCCATCTATCCTCTTCGAGACGTACGGGAGACGCATCACACCCTTCAGTCAGAAGCTGAAGGGTGCAATTAAGACTGCTGGCCTCTCAAATAAAGTGGGTGATGCCACACGCTGGGGACCTGATGGAAACGTATCGCGCCTTGACCACGTTCTGACCAACGATGAACTTCTCATTGAGGATGTGTGCATCCAACCTCCCCTTTGCCCCAGTGACCAAGCAGCGATAGCCTTCCCATGATTACTAGGGAGGCCCCGCAAGTGGAGACGACCAACACCTTCCCTTGCTACAGCAAGGCCAACTATGAGACCGTGAGGGAATACCTCATGAATGCGTCATGGCCGGTAGACTGTGCTCATCTCACAATAGGTGAACACTGGTTGAAGAAGAAGAAAATAACCACTGGGGACATCAGACACAGTGTACCAGAAGTAACACACAGACTATCGGTGAGAACCTCGTGGTTAAAGCTTGGGGCAGTGAGGCTTATCCAGAGCAAGAAGCAGGCTTGGTTCAAGTGGCGTACATCACGCAGGGAGTCTGACTTTTGAACTGTAAAAGGATTCGCAACCGCTGTAACACTAGAGTGCCTAGCGACAGATTTTCCGGTCAAACAAACTTGGCGGAAAGGTTACAAAGCAATCCGAAAACTTGCACCGCTTCATGTCGGAAAGAAAGTCGACCAGTAAGGGAGTGAGTCTTGTCACAGGCCATGATGGGGGCATACTAGGCGGTCTAGAGATTGCCGAGTTTTTGAGCTCACACTTCCAAGCCCAACTTAGCACCGACACAAGATCCACACCGACTCGTTACGACGCCGACCAGGTCATAAATAACAGATACCTCCGTCACATCTCAATTACAGAGAAAAAAGTGTTGGAGAAAGCATCTAGGCTACGTTCAGGCAAGTCCCCTGGCTGCAATAACCTAAAACCAGTGGTTCTGTAAAACTGCGTCGAAGTGCTTACAAAACCACTCTGCAGCCTCTCTAAACACTCAATAGAGTCGGACGAACTCCCTAAAGAATGGAAGAGCACCATCTTGTCACCCATCTTGAAGGGAGGAGACAGAAAAAGCCCTGGCAGCTACAGGCCACTTGCTCTACTCCCTATTGTGTCGAAAGTGTTGGAAAGCCTGGTAGCTGACACTATCTGGGAATTCCTCAATGGGAAAAACACTGTCCATACTGCTCAGCATGGCTTTCGGAGTGGCCGCTCTTGTGCCACCAACTTAGTAACCGCCTGGGACGACTGGACAGAAAGCTGGGATAACAGAAAACCGGTACATGTTGTATTTCCCGACCTAGCCAAAGCATTTGACAGTGTCCCACCCACGCTCCGTTTCACAAGATCATGTCAGCTGGTATAAGTGAAGCCCTACTCTCTCGGTTCAAGCAGCACATGGAGGGGAGGCGGTTCTGCACCAAAGTAAACAGAATAAGGTCAGAGTGGGGACCCTCGACGTCAGGAGCGTCCCAAGAGCAGTCCTAGGATCGCTTCTGTTCTTCCTGTTTGTCAACGATCTGCCAGATAAAATGTCCTCACCCGTCCTCCTCTTCGCTGACGACATTAAAATTTGGAGGGTGGTAAACTGAGGAGCTGATTGTACAGCACTACAAGAGGACTTGCAGCAACTCGAGCTCTGGTCGTCGGGAAATGGCCTGAGCTTCAACCCTGAAAAGTGCAAAGTAATACATATCAGTAAAAATGAAGCAAGTACGACCGACTTCCAGTGCATGTTGAGCAGCCGTGCTATCACCAGAGTGTCTGTGGAGAAAGATTTGGGGCTCAACTTCTCCGATACCTTGGACACCAGCTCCAACTACAGAGGTGTGACAACCAGGGCGAATGCCATCCTACACTTTTTGCGCAGATAGCTTGGCCCCTCACTACCGAACTCTCCTTCACCATTTTCAAATCCCAAGTGCAGCTGCATCTAGGGGTCTTCAATACGGTGGCTCCTCCAACACTCAAGAGAGACTATAATCTCCCTGAAAGAATACAAAGAACCGCAACAAAATGTGTTGTGGGGCTAAGGGGAAAGACGTATCCTGAAAGACTTAAACGCCTAGACCTATTTACCTTGGGTTATCACAGGAAGAGAGGTGACCTTATTAAGGCATACAAGATCGCCCATCAGACAGACGACGCAAACAAATCAATTTTGCCTGCAACTCAACTATCTTCACGAGGAAACCCCATTAGGATAGCACACCAGAAAGCCAACACCATACTCAGGTCGAAACTTTTCTCCCTAAGAGTACGTGCTTTATGGAATACCTTACCACGACATATCGTTGTAGCTTCCTCAGTCGACCGTTTCAAGAGACGATTATACAGCTCCGTCACCTTGCATGGTCTACCACAGACATACTCAGGTAGTCACCAACCTCACTAGCCCCGACTCTCTCCTAACTACTACTCACTATCTCCCTCCTTAATACACCCACATTACCCACTAATTCTTCTGTAGGAACCGAACCCACGCTACCATTCGTGCAACTCCCAAATATTTTTCTGCCGTTCTTATTTCTCTTTTTCACCCCTCATTTTTTTCTCCTTCCCTTCTTTTCCCTTTTCTCTTCCCTTATTTTATTTTTTCTTTCTGTTCTTCATTCTTTTACAATTCTTTTTCAGGTACCTACACAGACAAGAGTCACAGCAGTTCTCTAGACTTCCCAGCAACCCGTAGCTCCCTAATCACTCTACAAATTACAACTTACTAAACCACCAAACATCCACCTCACGAAGGCTAAAAGCAAAAAAGCAGAGGGGATTTCCTTGTCCACTGCAGGACTGAACCGAACATCTCGAGCCAAGCCCTAGGAACTAGACTCGAGAGATCAAAAACTATCAGTTTTCTACGCTCGCACTATGAATATTGGATACTGGATCCGAAGATGCCAGCTGCAACACACTACCAGGCGAACTAACCAACACTCAACCACCTGTTCTGTATACCATAGCTATAGCAGAAAAGTGGTTGAATCTACTGCATCGGAATCCATTGAAGAACTGGGACCGTTTTGTGAGACCTAGAATTAAGCACAAAGAAATCGTTTGGTGTACACAAGTTCGTGAAACAGGTATTGGATAATAGACAGTTGTCATAACTCCGATTAAGAACGCATTTTTAAATCTCAACGTCGCTGTAAAATTAAGATGAGCGAAGTAGCTCGAAACGATGAGACTTTTTTGAGAAACAAAATGAAGCTTCTAGAGATGACAGATAGTTACGAACTGAACCTGTAAGACATTACTTTGGAAAGCCAAATATTTGTAGTTATCAGCACTTGAAAAACTGTATAAAGCATATGCTGTTCCAGCAAAGATCAGATGACTTCAGCAACTTTGAAATCCTAAGTAGTCATTTAAAAATGGAAAGCAAACGACATGGCTTAGGAGACAAAACAAATTCCAACCCTGCTGCTTTTTCAATGGCGAAAATCCAACAAAAGTTGTTTACAGTATGAATTCCATTACGAGTTAGTGCATTATCTACCGATTTTTCTGATCAGAAAAGTGCTGAAGAGGACGAAGAGCCTGTTGCAGATGAAGATGAAGAGCACCCCCTGCCAAATATTGTGGAAAATTCCTTCTATTTTGAGAATGCAGGTATTGGCATCGGACGGATTGAGTCTATTTCCTTGAATATGGCTATCAAAGGGCTTGTGAATACACAGTCTGTTCAGAGTGCACGATTTTGGGGAAAAATTTACGGGACAATTCAGAACTACTACATAGTAGAGGTGGAGTTTCCTGAGGGTGAGGACGTTGATGAGGAAGAAGGTACCGATTCACTAAATCGAGAAATAACTGAAGCGGAGGATGATGAGGGACTTGAAGGTCAGAAGGCTTGTAAAATCAGTTATACATTCTTATTTCTATATACTGATTAACTACGGCTTTTAACGCCGAGAAAACAGGTACACGCATAACTAATGTAATATTGATTCGACGGTGGCTTATACATTTTCTTGTGATAGCCTTGAAGATAATCACTCCTAATAGGAAGAAGATGTATCATTACTGAAATCAATAATAAATGTATAGGATTGCAGTGTGAGATAACTCCTTTTCATACCATAAGGCAACAGAGATAATTTAAGTCGATCTAATCGTTCCTCATGTGGCAAATTTGAAATGCTAACCACGAGCATGGTACCTACCCTTCGAAAACGCTCTAGTTTATTAAAATCATTTTTAGACATGGACAGGCCGTCTGAATGCAGTATTCCAAGTGAGGTCTGACTTGTGTACAATAGAGTATCTTGAACACATCCTGATTCAAACTTTTGAAAGCTCTGAGGATAGACCATAATACATGGGAACCTTTCATTGCGTCTGTATCTCATTGTACAGATCTTCAGATCGTGGCTTATGATGACGCCTGGATCATGTAGTTCAAAGACTGAGAGTGGTAAGACATCACCAACGGAATACTGAAAACACCATATTTGACCAAGAAAGATTATTGTGCTTTTACTGCTGTTAAATTTCAGGTAACAACTTTTGAACCAACCTGCCAGTTCATCCAAGTCCGCCCTAACGGGACATCTATCAGCATAACTCCGTATAACTCTCCAGACTTTCAAGCCATAGATGAATAAAAGTGCCAAAGAATTGGGCAGTTGTGGCACGTCGCTGATATATAACAAGGAAAAATGAGATCTGTGATAGTTTCTTGATGCTTTTCAGTCATGTCATCTGTTCTGCAGGCTATTACTCTTCATTTTAGACCGGAATAGCAAACTGGAGACTTAAATTAATCCTCGCAAGCGGTAGTCTTATGGAGATCCGGTCTCGTTTTGAAAGTATCAACGTAAGTTAGAGACAATATATGTTCCGGTAAAAGGTTTCAGTAGCTTATAACTCTATGAGAAAAACGAATTTTCAGACGTAGACGATTTCATCTGGACTGGGCTGAAAATATTCATTGTTATGTCAAAAGTTCAGGTAACTCATGGTGTATTCTTAAGTTTTATATTCAATATATAATGGTAAACGTCCAATAACGGTATAGTGTTATCATGGTTACATGGCATACCATGGAAAATTAAAGCTGAATCCAGTTACAGCAGAATACTCATCTCGTCGTTGATACAAAAGATCATCGTTTTAGGGAGTTTATTATCTTACTTATAATGTCACATTTAAGGTTTAGAATTATACGTACCATTTTTTTTATAGTACGATAATAGGGCTGTATTTGTGAGGCTTGATTTCGATATTTTGTCTGTGAAGCGCTATGGCAGCCAGTTTTCAGTCAGAATTGTTTCCACAGGGATTTCCACAAGGATATCATGATAACGATGAAGTCTCTCATACTGACATAATTTGGTTGCCTTTAACCATGTTTGATGAGGCACTGTTTATCACAAAATATTAATGCAAAAGATGGGTAAATATATGATCGTACAGGCTTGAGAATGAAGTCATTAAGAAGAGTCTCTTTGTCGAAGTATTTGTTATTCTTGCATGTCTTGATGAGTGTCTTCCGGACATTAATTCTTTTATCTACAAGTCTTGCTGATTCGCTGTTTGGGCAAGTAAAGTATCCCTTGAAAAAACAACCTAACTCTAATTTTTGAACTTTATGCTGACTCATGTCAACTACTTTATTTTGCGGTGAAAAAACAAATGGTAAATATTAGCAGGTGTAACTTTATGTAACACTCTTAACATGAATATGCGGTTCTAATTCTTATGTGATGAATGGTCAGTTTGCTGAAGTTCCCTTATGGGAGACAGATAAGAGTGCCCTACAGTAATTTTATGTTCAACCTTCTGAACATGATCTTAGATATTTATGAAAAATATGATTATTCCTAAAGATGACTCTTGCATAACAAGTGGCATCATTTTGTGATCGTATATTTTGACGTATTGTGTTTTATCTGCAGCTGGGTTTATTTTGATCCATTGCCACTACAACTAATAGATTTACTAATAATCAGGCTGATTTAAATGATCTTCTTGACTAGTTTCGTACATGTCATAAGCGATACCACAAAAACCTCGTTTTTTCAGTCCGTTGTTATTGATTATCTTATAGCCAACATATTTATTATTTATTCCTGTATTCAATGTCATTTATTGTTGGTGACGTTAAGGACAAGCGACCGTTTAGTGTTATTCAGAGAAAGTACCATAATTTTAGATTATCTCGACTTATGAGCCCATTGCATTAGGCTCACATTTAAAGTATGCATTGTGAGTTGCTCAGTAAGTTCCAGACGTAACTGCAGCATAGGTTTAAGATGAAAATCCAAATATCTTTCAGTATCTGATAGTCAGCACCTTGTTTTAACTAATTCCAAGAATTGAGTTTCATTGCCCTTAAGTAAAAAATCCATTTACTAAGTTGATGTGTTTCTGAATGCTTGCAGTGTCTTAAACGTTTTAACCGACGTATTTAACCAGACCTGGAAATACAATCTATCACCGAAGTCACTCATGTATTTTGTCGCCTTAACTTCACTCAGAAACACAAGGATAAATGACTTGCAGCAAATAGTGGGTCTATAACAGGCAACAGAAGAAAAGGTTTCGAACCTTCGGATTACCTACTGAGTTTCTGGAGGGCAGAGTCAAATTGACTTCTAGCTTCTGCTCTTCCAACCAAACAAACCGTAAATCCCGTTTCATAGGTTTGCTAAGTTTGACTTCATTCACTTTGGAAAAAATGCATTGGTGTTTGGTAGTTCGAAAATGACACACAATTATAAATTATAAATTTTTATTTAGCTAGTTACCTTCCTACCTCTTATATCAGTGGCATGATTTGAAAACATTTTGGTGTTTGATGGTCTCTAAGATAAATGCTTTGGTAAAGCAGCCCAACAACTAAACTCTGCAAACATGAGTTAAAAGTGTCTTGTTTTAATAGGAGTACTCCTAAGAGTTTGAAAGCGTGTAGCTTTTCACAGAAGTAAAACCTTTCAGAACGGAACTGGCCAATTCAGAATACCATATCAGTTTACTCTTCAGTGTCTTTGATATTACATTTGACTGAATCGGGTTGGCTTCCGAGTAGCAATTTATAATGAAGGGTAAAAGGCGCACTCTTTTTTCATAGCTGTCTGCACCTTTACGCAGTTGAAGCACATTGAGTAGTGAAGATCGCTTGAGTACTTGAAACAGTGGGGTTTAACCAGAACAGAAACAATCAAATAGATATCAGTAGATCCAACTAACTTGCCTTCATTAAAACAAAGTGCCTGTCCTGGATTTTACTGCTATCCTCCACTTAAATGACTTAGTAAAGCCCCATATTCAATTTAATTCAGCCTTGTTTAGTATGTTTTGATTTTGAATTAACTTCGGACATCTTCTCAAGTGCCCTTTCATGCTTTACACCGAATGTCAAAAGGGAACGTTAATAACAACTCCAGGTTGACAACCGGTGTTAGACTGGCAGATAATTTTTATTTGTGGTTCAATTTTCACGACGTTTAAAATATATTAGCTCACAAACTGTTACGATTCCTTCTATTAATAGTAACTGTTTCCAAAATAGAATTGATACAATCTTAGTTCAACATCGTTTGTCTGCAATACATCAAGTAAGGGCAAATGAAATTCTTAGGATGTCAACAATGCATAGTTCAAGCCGAAAAGTAAATCTACAGATGTTTCCATTTATAACATATGTATCGCCAAAAAAGTTACACACTTCACCAAAGATGAAGAATATTCGTTAAAAACAATTATACAAGTAATAATAATAATGTCGTTTCCAAATTCATTAGCTATTGGTAGCTGAGTTTTGTTTCTTAAATTCACTTGTTGTTCATTAAAATACCATTTACCATTTTGTAAAGTTAGTTCTGACTAGAGTTTGTAAAATATATAGGTAATTTCCCTTAGCTTGGTGCAGTTTTTCTTATGTACAAGAAATTTGTTCAAATATATAGTGTTGACTTTTTGTAGTAAACTAATAATGCATAAATTTATTGAACACTTAAGTTTTAATATTAGGAAGTGCTAGTTCGCAATAGGATGAAAAAGCATCTGACCTGTTTTGTTTAGATGGTCTGAATTGAGTGAATTACTTCGGAGTTATCTATTAACATACTAATTATAATTTATGTGATAGTAAGATCTAGTTATTATTCCATATCACTCCATAAATAATCAGAAATAATAACCTAATTATCGTGGTAAAAAGGAATAGAATGAACTCAGGATTGTTTACAGTTCGAGTATACATACAAAGATATATTACAGACAAAAGTGCTCATTTTAGTGTTATATATCTCATGTTGTAACAGTGTCTATTTGTTAACTAGCCAAGATTTTAAAAGAGGAAGAAAGGCTGTATTAGCTGAAATAAAAAGGGCTATTGCCATTTACGCATATAAATGGGTTTACTCTGCAGGTAAGTGAGGTGTTCAAAATATCTTCAAAGCCTATCATAGGTGAAGATCATGAGACTGAATTTATGACTTGTAATACATTGTCAGTGTGTTCGAAAGAAAACATTCGTATATGCACAGTTAATTTAGGTTGGCAGATAAACCAACTAAAAGCCTAGCACAACATCAGCTTCAATTTTAGTTGTCATACTTCAAAACAGGATAGAAAACTGAGGCGAATCGGCAACGCAAAATACCACATAAACCAAACAACTGTGAAATCGTTGCATATATTCAGTAACAGAAAAAAGGTTAACAAACTTAACTGACAACTTAAGCAGTTTAACTTATGAATATGGAGTTTATTCTTTTCCCTTGTGTCGCGATTACCTTTTGGTACGTTTTATTACTTTTGTATTGATAAAAGTCAACTAAACTAAATAGATTTGCAATTAATTGTGTTGAGGATTTGTTATAAATAAACTTTAGTAACAGAAACAAGAGAGTTCTAGGATTTCATTTTCTAACATATGCACTTGATGGAAACAAGTACAAATTATTTTTCATCAACTTAAATTTTCATCTGGAAGTTATATCATGTCACCATTGGCCCAATTTAAAAATAATGACTGCTTTACTTCTCTTTTTTATTGATGTAATAGACTGATCTTTGTTTTCAAAGGAGTTTTGTTTGTCGGCTTTCTGGAATTTTTTAATCCCTTCTGATCCTTATCAAACACTCAAACATGACCGAATGAGTCTTTACGATGGAACTGTTTTATTATCATGTATTTCATAGGATTTCAATATATTTACTTACATATAATATGCCTCTAACAGTAAGTACTCAACTTTACCTCAATGCGATTCGTATGTTTTTTATTTAAGAAGGGAAAGACGTCCTGCCGAAATCCAAGTGGAAACCACCCATCAAAGTACCTCGAGAAGAGAATCATGTTGGAACTAATAAGAAGGTTTATTTTGTTTGCCATGAGCCAGGTTTGCGATGGATAAAACTGCCACCAGTTACACCTGAACAAATAGTAGCCGCTCGATCAGTAAGTTCTAGTGAAATTCGAGTAAATCTTAATTTTAAAATGCTTTGCTAAGAATGAAACCTATCGCTATGGAGGTTTATATATATATATATATATGAGTGTAGAGGTTTTGGTAAAACACTAAATATTAGCCGATCTCCGAACAACGGCAGTTTGGTTCTTTTGCCTGTTCCCCAGAAGTTTTGTTTTTATTGAGTTTATCATGGCTACCGATTCTTCAGTTAGAAAATAACTGTTGTGAGAGAGTGGTTGTTTTAAATTGGTAGACCGTGTCATGAATATAATATTTACCGATTATTTCTTACTTGGTCAGCAGTTTTACATTGCTTTCCTGAGACATTGTTTCTGTCTTCAGCAATTTTACTCATCTCTGCACTTAGTATTATCAATGAGATGAAGGTAGTGGCGACATAACATCTGAAATACTATCTCACTTTAGTATGACAGAAAATAACACACTGATGGTTTGGTGGACATTTATCAACTCGTTTGCACCAAAACAGCAGAAACGTATTTTATTCTAAATGGATCGAGTGTAGATCACCTTGAAAAAAGTTAGTGGCAAAATGATCCGACAGTAATAAGATACTGTTTCATTTGTTGTATACTTACCTCTGTTTGTCTTCTCCCTGTATATGAATCAGCACAGTTTCTTTTGCAGTGAGTTAAGTTACTCTTTTCTAAGCTACTGATTTTACTCAACTCCTACAAAAACACATCATGTTCCCACATCGACAATCATGATGGAACCAAGGTATTTTCTTGATTATAGTGATCGACTTTACCCTAAGCGAACTATCACAGGAAGTATTTCTAGTAATCATGACTAGAGGAATTTATCTTGGAATTCAGCTTCTTAGAACGAATAGTTCAGCGAAGGAAACCCCTTCTTGATGGATTTATTCTCAGAAACTGTACAGTAGTGTATATATATTAAATTTTTAATCATCACTTGTTAATTTCTGACGAGATATAACAATAGTGAGTTGTATTTAAAAATCAATGCATCATTTCGTCTAGAGGTTAAAGCCTTGCAATGATACAGAAATAAGTACCAACATATGGAAAGGGTTTGTGAAACCGGAATTATTTCGGGGAACAAGATCGTAGTGAGTCACAATATTCTAATAAAAGAGATGTAAACTAATTTCATGTGGTATGAGTGATAATCAAGAAATGCAAACAGAACGAAAAAATAGTAATGATAATAATGGGAAACCAAGTCAATTTGTAATAAGGTAAAAAGCGGAGACATTTGAGACAACTTGATATGAGAGTCATCAGTATCCAAAATATTAAGACCCCCTACTAGGTAACCACGTTAGGACCATGGCAGTGAAAGAGATTCAACAAATTGTTTTTTAATGATTTGCCAAGGCTTCTGCACTGTGTAATAAATGAAGACGTAGATGATTAGGATGGTTTGACTGGATTTTGTAAATAGTATTGAATGAGGTATTCCAAGTTAGATATCCTCTACCGACCACTTGTTGCAAAATAGATGAGTGGATTGATGTTCTTTGTCCTTTACTAAACTATAGTGGAAGATATTCTCGAATGAGGTGGGCAATGCGTCTAGACGAATAACTTGCATACCTAGCTCTACAGGAGCAGGTGAATTGGTAAACGCATACTGAAATGGTCACTCTTGGCAACTTATCCTTCACCACGGGGCATATTGGAGAGAGAGTTTGCTACTTTTACTGCATGTATTACAAATCGGTTTTTCCAGACGGGTTTTCAGAATATCATCAACAGTATCCCCTTTGAATTTTAAATTCAATGACAACATCTTTTCCGAAACAGTGATGGTGATTATTAAAGTGTTTCAAATTTTTGTCAGTGAAAAATAATGGTTATCCATTTTTCAAAAAAATGGATTTCAAAAAGCTTATTTCCTCTTTTATGCCATCTGAAGAAAAACTTTTTAATTTCAACTATGTTGGGGTCATCAGAAAGTCTGCGAAAAGACGTCAGTTGGTTGAACATTGGCTTGAGACTAACATAAATAAATCGGCTGTTAATGAGCCTAAACGAGATCTTACGGCTATGTTATATTTCTGTCGATACATCTCTCCGTTAAAGCTAAGTTGTTCATTCATGAGACACTTCAGGACAAGCTCTTTCAAATAAGCGGTAGGCATCCCGAAATCTACATTGTTTGTGTTTGTATAGTTGCATATATACTGTACAGTTTCTGTGGGTGGTACATTAACGAATAAAAATTAACATCTAGTAGTATCATTGCTTACTGGAAACATTAAAACAGTTTACCGCATCAAAAATTCAAATAGATCATAAGTAGAATGCTTACACACTTGTCATTAGATTGTTTCGAGAATCTGTGAGATCCATTGTGCTATTGAGTAATAGAGAGCATATGATATATCAAGAACAGGATGTAGAGGTATTCTGAATTAACATTTCTTAGGTAAACCATATAGCCTAGTAACAATAGATCCAAAAGATTTTAATTTTATGAACTGGTCAGCTGTAACTATGAAGTTGTTTTCCATTTGTTCGAGAATTTCTGTAAGTTGTTCTTCAACCTTTTCAGTTTTGTTCACTTCTCTAAGACGTTTCGAAAATTTGTTGTTATACAATGGTATGTCCTTCATTTTACTCACATATATTTCTGTTGGTCGAATAGCACGAAATGTTCTTCCTCAAAGTGTTTCCAAATTTTTTATGAGTTGGGATTGTTTTAAATGGTCTTTAGTGAAGTGAAACTAGCTTTTTGGTTTCATTTTCATCCATTGATAAACACAATCAAATATGGTTGATTTTAAATGATTTGGTTCATTGGGTGATGTTACTACTACATCACTTGTCCGCCTGATCAGACTTTCTAATAACAATTATATGAAGAGTTGTGACACTTGTGAAAAAATAAGACATATAATAAATAGTTCACTGAACTTTTGGGTGGTTTGAATAGAGAAATAGTCACTAGTTTAGCTATGTCTTATTCTAACTTGCTCTTTGACGTTTTACTTGGCTGTTTTGTCTTTACTTCGAAGATACATAATTTCTGAATGAATGTGCACTAAACCAAAGTCAAAGCAGGTTATCCAATTTTAACTCATAAATATATAGAATTGTTAGTGTCTGTGCATAATTTACAATCTGTTGGTGATTCATAGGTTGTGAAAGAATGTGTATTGAATTTTGACTAGATTCGCCGCCTATTCACTGGTATATTGGATGCTCTAGTTTCCTGCTACCCACCTTTTCCTGGTACTGAAGCTAATTATTTACGTGCTCAGATAGCTCGAATTAGTGCATCGACACAAATCTCTCCGGCAGGTTTTTACAGTTTTGGCAGTAACGAGGAAGAAGAAGAGGAACTTGAGAACGAAGAGGAAGGTGGCAGACAAAACTACGTTAAGAATGAAGAATATGAACCCCTTAGTATAAATGAGCTAGCTGATCCTAGTCTTGAACACTGGGTTCATCATACATCTTATATTCTACCACAAGGACGAGTTTACTGGTAAGTCTATCAAACTGTCAAGGTTATGAATGGATTACTATCTAATTAACGTTTCCACGATATGAATTTGCCTATAAAAGGAAGCCTTATTGCCATTCCAACCAAACAATAAGCACAATATCGAATAATATTTAAAGCAACAAATTTTCCCAGAAGCGTTAAATTCATGAATGTCCATCATCAGGGATACTATCTTGTTGTGCTTGAATAGTCAGGTCAGGTAATTAAATTGGATGATCTAATCATCTAAGCGTACATGTACATGGTAACTCAAACTGTTGCAGAACTTGAGCCAAACCTGAATTAAGTCAAAGGTCTCTTGCCTTTAGAATGTTATCATCTGACGGAGTTATGAACCATAACTGTTAGTCATAATTCAGTCTTGTCTTAATAGTCTTGTTTAAATAAAATAAGTCAGTTGGTACTTCTGTGTTTTAAGTTAGCTATTTTAAACTAAACAGATGGTGTGTAAATCAACAATGTTACCATTTTTTTACCAGCCACTGTTATAAAATGACAAAGCGATCATTCAAATCTAAGAAGGTAGCTGAGGTCAATCAATCTATAATCATTCAAATATGTAAATCACTTTTTAGTGTTTATGTCACTGTGGATTCACTTGCATTTGGATGATAAATACGAGTCTAACCTTACTTTTGCAAAGGTATAAAAAGGAAAACACTAACGAATTCAATTTTCTTACTAAATGAACAATGCTAATTAGGTTTAAAGCGAGAGCGAGAATTATTTTGTTCTACCCTTCTGTAGCTGTAGTACAAGGTACTTCAAAGCTAATGTACTGAAAAGTAGTAAGACCAAATGTCTTGTTTTTTACACGAAAGATGCAATCATAGATTAGTAGATGTAGTTTGAAAATTCACTGTGCAAGGAAGTTTCTCGGAAATTCTAAAGTAGTGACTGAAATTGAGATTTTAGAACGATGTGATTTCATGAACAGAATATCACAAACAGAGCTCATTAATGTGCAGCATGTATTAGGTTTGAGCTGCCAGTGTACGAATTAGTTCCAAAATTGTTTTCGTATTGACGGCAGCAATTGTATTGGAGCTGTAGCTCAGTGATGTAGGGGTTTAACAACCAACGAGTGGGCCATGGGTCCGAATCCCGTTCCACCTACCGAGGTTTGTACAGTAATGCAGTATCACTAACGCTCACACAACAGGTATGGCTCATTGCCTACTAAACAAATATGCAATAGGTGGCTGAATGCGTTCCGTTGTACTGCATGTCAACAAATAATCCACAATACAAATAAATTCACGGGTGACTAATATATTTATTACGATTATTCTTCTGATACTACGTTAAATCATCTTTTTCTGTGCCTGGTCTTTACAACTTTAATCCTTAGGCTTAAATGAACCTAACTTTTAAGTTGATAATGCCTATTACTGTTTACTCAACGTTTATTGATAAATTCGACTGCATGACAGTGTAGACGATTTCATCGTTTCTTATAATATGAGTAATCAACATTACATTCTGAAGAAACCCACCATTTCTAGCTTGGTTTACACTCCATACGTAAACGTCAGTGGCGGAATTCCTTCCTTATCATTTATGAGGATTTGTCAATGACATAAACTTTCTAATTTTATCAGAATTGGAAGGTTAAGTAAACATTCCGTGAATTACTTCTAATCAGGTGGAATCCAAAGAAAGGTCTTGATGATGATTTCGACGAATTTAATGATGAAGAGGAGGGGGAAAATGAAGAAGACGGTGGTAAATCGAAGAACGCCGTACAGCCAGAACATGGACCACCGATACTTACACCAATTTCATCCGACTTGTCAATATTTGGACAAAAGCCTTGGTCTATTAATATAAGTTCCAAGTTAATACCAGAATATGCATCTGTTATAGTATCGTCTAATCTTTGGATTGGGGCACATGCAGTTTCGTGGGGGAAGTAAGTTGTTAAGACAGTCTTCAGAATAACCCCTTTAGCGTTTATGTATCAGACAATATGATGTTGTATTTGCACAATGTGTACAAATAATAAATAGTTATTAATAAAAAACAACTATTCGTTGTTATTGCCAAGTTTTTAGCTATTCAGAAGACTATGAAGTTGAAATAAGCGTTCCATTTGAAATAATATTTTTCAGTTAATTTATAACCCGTTTTTTTGCACATAGTCTATGATCTAGATGTATCTTATTGCAAAAGATGCTCACATCATGTTTTACAAACATAAAACAACTTTGAGTATACTAGACGTCGATTAAAGAGGGGAAGTGAAACGTTGTACAGTATTGTGGATACAACTAATCACTAGTAGTCGAGATTTAAAGTTAAGGCAGGGAGAAATAAGTTAAGTGGTAAATGTTAACCACAGCCTCCGGTTTTCAGGACTTATGATGCAACATCATGCTTGGAGAAGAGTTAAACAAACTGACCAAGTGAAAACAAGAAGAAACTCAATTTACTGAATGCAAACTTGTAACCATATGGCAACTAATGTAGCTACTAAGTACTGATTACTCCGAAATCTGTTGATCCGGTACGTCCTGCATGCGTTTTCCTTAAAAGTAGACGTAAAACTGGATTGTACTCAATTCACTAGTCACTGTTTCATCGAATGAATGTAACTACTGACTTGGCTAGTGTAGTAGTAAATGTATTGTACAATGTCCTATAATTCATTGAATATGATCAAATAAGTTCCACATATGATGAAAAAGGATTTTTATTTATAAGGAGTACTGCCCTAAGAAAACTGTCATATATCCTCTTGTTAGGCAATAGGCAGTTTTGTTAAGCAGTGAGATAATTAACATGGATCTCCGGTAACATTTGTTTTAGAACTGATATAAATCTTTATTATTATAACATATTAATGGAGTTCAGATACCTATCAAACAAATTTGATGTATCATAGTTTTTCAGGTACTTTTCTGTATTTCTTTGCTGACTACATCCAGTCTTATATGATATCTAAGCAGAAGGAATCTTAAAACTTGACTTGACCAAATGAATGTAGAATTAATCTGCCTAAATTACCAAAGCAGTGTGATACTGCAATATGGGATAGCTTCAGTTAACCCAGATGACCTTTGTTCCTAAGTCTGTTCATGTGTAACTTCAGTACCAGAGTGGCTAGATGGTAAAGTATTAGTCGTGGGACCTTACAGTCCTGGGATTGATCTACAGTGAGGCCATGGGTGAGCACCTCTGAAGAGCCCCAGACTAGAATGAAAGAGCTGTCCACAGCCTCAAGGTTTTTAATGGTTCATTAACTGATGCCACTCCTTGACGAATATAACCTTGTTATCGTATAAATGTCGAAAATATAAATTCCCAGGGTAAATTGTATGCATCACTCACGTGACAGTTTATGAAAAGTGTTAAGGTGAGATGTGATTAAACTACAGAATATCAAGATGATATAGAGTTGAGTATTGGTAATTTACTATCATGAGTGCTGGTACTATGGAATTTTGGTTAAACCTAGCAATATTAAAAATTACTCCTTCTATAAGACATTATTCCAATATTCTTTTGACATCAACATCATCTTAGCCATACAGGTAAGAAAGTAACTTAATTTGGAATACGTACTAGATAAAAGTTTTACTTTTCCTATTAAGCTGTTTATTCACTCATTTAGGCTGAGTATAAGTTTAACTACCACCCATACAGGCGTTCAGAGAACTTCTATGCAAAACTTGATTAATCGCACAATATCTGAGTTACTGTGACTAGGCGTTATTGATTAAGAAATAAATTAGACTGTAGATAAAATTAGCCAAACATTAAATTCTGATTGAGAACATGTAGCTGGATGTGGAATAAAATTAGTTTATCGAACAGAAGGTTCACGGGAAATACGTACGAAAAAGATAAAACAGACAAACTCATCTGTTCCATGGAGTTTTCCTCATTTTATTTGAATAAGTTATATCAAACTCACGTATTATTTCAAGCGTAATTCACGTATCGATCCGTCAGAATTTACAGTCAACTCATATTTACTTTACCTTATTTTTGTAAGGTACGGAATCTACTATAGCTTTGAAATATATATTTTAAGGGACCTTAGAGTTTAGTTTTATCCTTAATCTAATAAACAGCGATAATGCATAGGAGAAAGTAGAAACCGAAATCTAGCGAAAGAACGAACCACACCTATTTCTACTGAAAACTGTATTAGATAGTAGAGATTCTTCACAAAGCTAATGTTTACTGAGTGTTTCATAATGACACCTCAAATGTTTTGTTCCAGGGAAAAGTGACGAAAAGACAGCTAGACTACCAAAGTTAACCTTAAACTCAGTTTTCCAGGAAAAACAACCCTTATTGTGTGTTCGATTCCATTAAATTTTATAAATCTACGTGTTTCTGAAGTTTTTAAAAATTATTTCGCATGATTCAACTATTTTATAAATGTTTTCCAGACGGTTTGAAAATATTTATATTGGATGGGGTATCAAATCAGTCACTTCAGGTTTTCAACCCCAGCTACAACCGATTGAAATGAACGAATATCAGGAACTATCTGATATGAATGAAGCAACAGATCCAACACCAGAAGAAGAAGCCGCTTTAAGAGCCTTACTCAATCCACCGGAAGCTGAAGACGAAGATGATGAGAAAGAGGAACAACAAGAAGAGGCCGAGGATGACTGATGTATTATTCTCTGTTATTGTCAGATCGTTTACAATGCTTTGACTAAACAGGAAGTATTAGGTTGTCAAATTGTTCAGATTTTGAAAGCAAACTTACGAATTTGATAACAACGTTTGATCATTTAAAATATTTTAACTTCACCTGAGGTATTTTATGTGTTGTTTTATATAAATCTAAGTAGGTATCTTCACAACATCAACTATTATTAGGACACATAAATATCTGTTCATACGCTGACAGAAAATTTGTACTGAACAGTGAAATCTTAAGTTACAAAAAGAAAGGCTTCAGTAAACAAATTTACGTTCAGTGATTTCATCCTCAGGAGCTATACAGTCTCATTTCAATATAAATACTGTGTATATTTATTAGTAAAATGTCACTATTTATCAGTCAGTAGTTCTGTTAGGAAAATAATGTAGAAACAGAAATTTCATAGGGAATATGGAAATATTAGACAATTGAAGTGGCTAAGTGTGAGTTGAAATCAAGAATTAAAAAATTCGTAACAAAGCGATGAGCAAACGAGAACTCAGGAACTGAGTTACAAACCTCTGTGCAATAACGACATCAAAAATTAAAAATCCATCTAGGCTACGGAATTGGAATGTTTAAAATATTTATAAGTGAATAGGGACAGTGAATGATAGATCTGCCTCTTGAGACACACACATGAGGTTTCAGTATTTAGATTGTCAGAGCGTCAGTAATGCAAAGTAAACGCTTCGTGACACTCTTTGGAGGATTAACCGCTGTGTTTTGCAAACCAACGCAGATGATCTTGTTGAATTGTTTGTCTGCTACCAACTAAATGTCGTAATATTAAGCTCCTGATCCATCCAGCTTCAGAAGGGCAGATGAACTGATATATCCACATGGAAGTGGATAGCCACTGAATGACTAGTATAGGTGATTTGTAGAGTGGCAGCAGGAAAATGTTCTTCTGATAGCCTTCATTTCTGTGTTTGTTTTCATATTGCACTTACATATTTCGTTGAAATGATAAATTAAGAGGAAGACAATAAAGTTCTTAAGTCAGATACTTGTTTGACACCTAGAAGCCATGTATACAGTAGGCGTTTTGTTCCCACTTATGTTCATGAGAAAATGAAAACTGGTAGCTTTGTATACACAATCTGTTCTAGCAGATTGAGAACTGACTTCTATTGGTTAGAGGAGCCTACTGAATATGGATGGTACGAAAGTCAGATTATCTCAGCTTCCTGTGACAATTTTTACTCTATTCCGTTGGTGATGCTGTCATACTAAGGCCTGAAACTACCGTGCACCCTTGATTTAGAAAAACAAGCTGTGTTGCCCTCATCAAAACTTAAGAATTAGTTCCAAAAGACCATACCGAAACTATCTGCGTATCTAGAAATTATCGACGTGGTACCCAGCTCACATGACACACAATTATCCGCCTCTTTTTGCTCCCCACTATTTGTTGCGTGGTCCAGTCCACTACAATCAGAAAGACCATCGGTGATAGTAGACAGCCTTGTCTTACTCCTGTTTTCGCTTCAAAGGCATCACTGAGAGTTCCATTATGGATCACTTGGCATGTGGCGCCTTCATATAGTTATTCAATGAGGTTGATAAAGGTTTATGGTATTCCATAGTGTTGGAGCAGTTGCCAAATTGCTTCTCGGTAGACGCTGTCAAAGACCTTCTCAAAGTCGATGAAGTTGAGGTAAGGTAGAGAGTTGACTGCCATTCTATACTCTGTTCTATGATGATGCGAAGCGTTGCAATTTGGTCCACACATGATTTGTGCTTTCTGAATCCAGCTTGTTCCGGTCGTAGTTTTGATTCCAGCGCATCCTTTAGTCTCTCCAGTATGATGCGGCACGATACTTTGCTTGGGGTGGACAGCAGCATGATTCCTCGCCAGCTACTGCAAACACTAAGATCGCCCTTCTTCGGCAGTTTGACAAGGTAGCCCTTCTCCCAACCACCAGGCACCTTTTCTTCCTTCCAGACCTTCTGCAATAGTGGTGTGAGCATGTCCTCTGTTGTCTCTGCGTCTGCTCTCAGTGCTTCTGGCGGGATCCCATCTGGTCCTGCTGCTTTCCCGCATTTCAGTAGCTTTATGGCGCTCAGAACTTCGACTTTCATTGGTGGGCTTGTGTTCACTTGTAGTTCTGTAGCTGGGCTGCGGGTGACATTTCTGGACGAGTTGCATGTGGCGGTAGACTCAAGAGCTTTTCGAAGTGACAAGCCCATCGTTTCCTTTGTTTCGCTGCTTTGCTAACTAGGTATCCTTCACTGTATATCATTGGTTTCGTCTGCGGTGATCTCTTCCCAGATCGATAGTAACCTGGTTTTTTATATAGTTTTGTCAGACCTCTGTCTCTCCTACCTGCAGCCTGTTTTCCTTCACTTGCCACTGTGTCGTAGAAGTGTCACCTGTCTTTGCGCTCACTCTTCTTCACTTCTTAGTCCAGTATAGTGTTTTATAGGTTATATTCAGTTCCTCTTCTCCTTGTGCATTCGTGCCTGCACTGGTTTATCTTCTACTTCACCATCTTCCTCTCCTTCCTCTATCACCTCCCACGTGTCCGTCCAGATCCATTCTTCACCTTTTTTCCTCTTCCTTCCTTATACGGTTATGCAGGTTTCTTTCCACATCTACTTCAAAGAGTTCCAGTGTTCATTCACACAGGTTTCCTCAGGGATGTTGCTCGATATCTTCCATTTCGTCTTGATGCCTGGCTGACGTGAAGATTTCCTTTGTAGTTTCGTCCTTCAGTTTCTCTTCTGGGCGTTGTACCTGAACTCTGGCCTATCATCAACTTCTTTGAGGGTTTCAACTTCATTTTGAAGGTGGGTTCCTTGCACTAGACAGTGAGTGGTATGAACCTACATCTGCTCCCCTTCTTGATCTTGTGTCAAGTAGACTGTGTCTCCACTTTCTTCACATTGAGATGAAGTCGATCTGACTTTTAGTGTGTCCTGGTGTCTGGTGAAATCCATGCTGCTCGCTTTGTGGATATCCTTGTGCTTGAACACACTGCCTCACCTCCAATCACCAAATCGTTGAATGTTCAGAAGTCTGCAAATGATTTTCCACTCTCGTTCATTTTACTGAGTGCTTCTCAACCTATGGTTGGTATTCTCTTCCTGTGTTGTCCGCTCCCAGTTTGGCATTCATGTTACTCATTAGAATTTTGATGTCGCCAACTGGAGTCTTGTCTAGTGCTGTAGAATTCTTCCTTCTTCTCTTGCTCTGCATTATTTGTTGGCGTGTAGCACTGTACGATTGTGAATTTCTTTCCTTTGTGTTGAATCTAGCTGTCATGATCCTAATCCTGCAAGAGGAGATTGGTTCCCACTTCATGAGATTCTTCGATGTTCTTGGGGACATCATGATAGCCACTCCAAAACTCAGTGTGTTCGTGATTCTCGTCTGGGTGACAATGTCGGAGTAGAGTATTGACTCCTCTCCGGTCGACAGTTGGGAGAGTCCATTTCTATTTCATCTGCTTTTGCAGATTCCAAGCACTTCGATGTCATGCCTTCTCATAAACTTGGCAATTTAGGCAGTCTTGCTAGGTTCGATTATTGTGCGAACATTCCCTGTCTTTATGCTTACTTTTGCTTTCATTGAGAGTAGAGAAGATAAAATGGCCAGTTGGCTTCTCGAAAGCTTTCACCAAACGGCGTAACTTCGTCTCCCAGATTCCAGCGAGGGATAAGTTTATTTTTATTTCTTATATATCGTCCTTGCTTTGAGGTTTCTTTATCGACTTCATTGGTTTACAGTGTAGGGTTGCTAGCTATATGCTTAACCTTCCTTCTTTATACGGGCTTAGGACCGGCTAGTAAGTAGTGAAATAGTTAATCAGGCGAGGTTAAGTGAGGCGTTAATGGCATAAAATTTATAGTCGGCACTTTTTCGTTGCAAAACTTCATTGACTTCTGTCATAAATGATATATAGTAGTTTTTAGAGCATAAGGATAATACTTACTGTGTGAAGACTTCAGAAAAATCTAGCAAAGTAGTATGTACAAAATATTTTCCAAAGAATGCGTAGTCAAACTAAGACATGTCATCAGTGGAATGGCATTGCATGATCACATTGGTCAGAAATCCTGTGGTCAGTCCAGTAACACTGAATTTCAAAGCAGATAGGTTCATAGCAGTTCATTTGTCACTCAGTTCGTGATCTTCAGAAACAAAGAAGAATTGGAAAATTCGGCCTGCATTTTGAAACAGTTCATTTGTTGTCAGCCCTGCATGTGTAGATCATTCGCTGCCTTATAACCTGCAAGTAAGACTTTCCAAAATAATACCCTCAGGTCTTTTGAACTTATTCTAAATAATGGCGTTTTAAAATTGTCCAATCAAGAGCACTTGTAAGCATCAACTGATTCCAACTCAATGAATACTAAGACTTCGGGAGTTCTTCAAACTTAGAACGCCATGCTTATTCTTTTCTAATCAGCTCAAAGTTGAACTAACACTCTTATCTCAGGACAACTGTTGCAAGAAGATTGGTTCTCAGAAGTCAGTGGAAGAAGATAAGATACTGCATATTCATATCTAAAAGGATGTTCTCTAACAAGTCACACGTCACTGTCTTCACTTTCCAAGATAAGACCTATTCTCAAGCCTTCTCGTATTGTCTACATCAAGTCAAATTCTTACTACTCGTGTCATTACTATTCCACATCTTGTTGTACATTACTGGAGAAGATAACTTAATGTGTACATTCAAGTATTATACGCAGAATATAGAAGTAAAACTTGGACATCGTGGTATGTTGTAATTCCATTTCAATCTGCTTATTTAAATTGTCTCACAGTGAAACGGTAATATTTACTGGATAACTTTTCCGACATAATATATTGTACATATTCATTTCATATCCTGATGTGGATAGGGACGACAAATTATACCTGAAACCTTATCCAGTAAATAATACTGTTTCACTATGTGACAATTCTAATAAACAGACTAAAATGGAATATAAGCAGAATATTCGTCATATGAGATAACAGTGAGAGCCTCAAAATCAGACCATCAATCTCAAAAGGCACCACACCAACAAAGTCATAACTGACAGGTTTCACTACGACTGAAATCATCAACTCGTTCAAATATAGAACAATGTAATAGGTTTCTCTACTTAGTAAACCAAGTG